TACCCCTTTAATGCATCACCAACTACATTTCAGGAGGTAAGTTTTATCTAGTATTTTAAACACATCTTGTTCTTGAATTGTTGTCTTCCTCTCTATCCATTACTGCCTTTTAATTCATCACCAACTACATTTCAGATAGTAAGTGTTATCTAGTATAATATATATTTTAAACATACCTTGTTCTTAATTTTTATCTTCTTCTCTACCCATACTGCCTTTTAATGCGTAAACATTTCAGACGGTACGTTTCATGCACTAAAAATATTATGCTGTATTTCGTGTCTGCCTTCTCTCACTGACTATATTTTAGAAAGTGAGCTTTATCCAGTAGGCTAAATAACTGACTCAACTCAGCATACAGCTATATACTACATCAATCGTCGTCTATTGCACACACAGTCATGTATTGCGTAGCTATTTACACACTATGTATGGCAATGAGGGTCTATAGGTAGGCATTGGCGAATAACATATCATACAATGAATGACCTCTATTTTTAAGCTGTAATGAGAGTTCGATAATATAGTCCTCTGGAGCCCTACTCTGACCATACATCTACCTTCTCTCACCATTTTATTCTAGGACAAATATTTAACCCCTGTGTCTACGGCAGAAAGCCAACCAAGTTAGTGCTGATGTAAGATGTACAGTAGATTAGCAATGGCCTATGTGTCCAGGGGAGGCAGTGGAAGCAGAAATGGAGGTTACAGATGAAGATGTCATAGCAAAGAAGGTGGTGGAAGATATTCAACCAAGTAAGTGCTCGTGTGGCATGTGATTCTCGTTACTAATGTCCAACAGCCTTTGAAGTGATAGCAGAGAAGACAGTGATAGTAACAAATGAGGAGCAGCATGTTATCTGGGAGGGATATGGTCTGAGACTATACATTCCACCCGACTCACTACCAGAAGGTTGTAGTCATTTGGAGCTGAGTGTAAATGTTGGACTATCAGGAGAGTTCCAGTTACCCGAGAACGCTGTCATTGTTAGTGCAGTTTATTCCTTCAGCCACCACCCAATAGAGAGTCTTCGTCAGCCGGTCACTCTGGAAATGGAGCACTGTGCTGCAGCAAGTGCTCTTGATAACTTGAGCGTTGTTCGAGCGAATACGAACTCCAACAGTTTCAGTTATGTTCCAGGGGGTGATTTCACCTCAGTGAAAGGCTATGCAGTTATAAAGTTGCATTCCTTCTCCCGTTTTGCTACCTTTTTGAAGAAGCATTTTCGCTCCTTGCTTCCCCATTCCTCTAATGAAATTGAATATTCCGCTAACATTTACTATACAAAGATGCTCTATTGCCATTTTAATTTTGAGTTCTTCATTATTCAAAATCTCAGTGCATTGGCTAAGGTAAGTTTAATTGAGATATGATTTTTACTGCCATTATCTCCATAAGAGGGTTGAAGATCAGATTTCAAAGAGAGTAAAGGGCAATTATGAGCGAGGGCCTATTTCTAATTTCAAGTTCCAAGAGGATGAAGTAAGTGTTGAAATTCAAGAAAGCTGTGGAAATGGATGGAATATGAAGGAACTAACCCCACTTGAGGTGCTATTGTATTATGCCTTAGAATCCTACATTACTTTGAATATGACTTACAGGTTTTCAAGCGGGATGTTGATAGGTTTAGTGCTCGCAAGGAGCTGTGTACTTGTCAAGTGAAAGTCTGGTGTGAGAATGAGGAAGCTCCAAAGCATCTGCTTCAGAGAGTACTCATCAAGGGAGCTAAAAAGCAGTGCGATTTTTTAACTGTGACCTCCCCAACGACATGTCTAACTAGTGAGTGGCAGTTTACCCTTACCGATGGTGTTAACGATCTTCTCCTTTTCCTTTTAGAGCCGGCTCTGCCTTCAAATACTCCCTTTAGTAAGATTCGCTTATGTTGTTTACAATACAGTAGAAATCTATGTTCACACTATTCTACTGTTATACAAGGTCCCAGATCTGTGGATACCACAGTATTTTTTTATGTCAAGCCAAAGTTGGCTGACTTGTCTAATGAGTTGGGGGATCTGACGTGGAGTGAAATCAAGTCTCTGGCAGTACAATTGGATATTGACTACAATGAACTATTGAAGATCCAGGAGCAGACTGACCAGGCCACCGACCGTATGCACCAAGCATTGAACATTTGGCTGAAAAAAGACCCGAATGCTTCATGGGAGAAAGTGATATATGCCCTCGATCGTGTAAAGGGGAAAGATGTGCTGATCCAAACACTGAAGGAGAAATATCTTCCTCAATCTCCAGGTATTTTACAGAGTGATAGTGTTTCTTCTTTTAGATCCTTGCTCTGCTTGTCTATCACTAGGTCTACAAGCTGGTGGCCAGTGAAGTCCATGCTATTTTGGGAATAATATTTTTTATACTTGTAAATCTGTGGGATGGCAGCGTTTGAACCCTGAAATGATCAAGTGCTCGGGTACTCCATTAGTATGTTGCAGGTCGTAGTGCAGCTACCCCTGTCTGCAATTCCATTTAGGTCTTCACAAGGCAGAGTGGTTGAGGATAATAAGGATTGCTCCTTGAAGGGCTTTTTGTCTATAGCCAGGGGACAATAAACCCTCGGCGCGCATGCGCAGCGAGGGTTACGATAGTTGGTCTGTCGACGCTTATTCTGGCACTACAGGCTACGAGGCGGCCCATTAGCGATACCACCGGCTTCAGAACTACGCGAGCTTGAAAGGGCGATATTTTCCTGCGTTCGAGAGCGACAAACTGGCACGGTCGTTGCGTGGCCCACGCGGCTGTTTCACCCGCTCACTTAGTTTCAGCGCGCATATGGAAATTATCGCGCCTAGTGCCTAACCGCCCACTACATGAAGCTGCACGATTCAACGCTTGGTTGCTGCGGCCTCTACTGGGAAAGAAGCGACAGCCAAAGCGCTTCCTTCGCCCATATACAGAGTATAACTCTTGTGGATACGGGCAACAACTTCGCACTGGCGAGAGCCGGCTTCGTTTTGTACTGCGCATCGGAAGTACAAGCGTGTACAAGTACGCGACGAAAAACAGGTTTATGTTCGTAGCCCTGCACCACCGGCGAGGCATTGTTATAAGTCAGAAACACGCCTGGAGAAGTTGTAGGAAGTTGAATAAGCCTGTCAGAACTCGGCAAGCACGCGACATCAGGGGGCTACTGGAGCGTTTGTAACCCCCATACAATGTCATGAATACCGTTAGAAAGAGCCTGGTATATGCCCAGCGCTTTGTTACGCTTCTGGCTCAAGAGGAGGGAGGAGATAGAAAGGAACACTGTAAAACATCTGTAGTGATTTCAAAATAGTCATTGACATTGATAGCTACAGAAAGCATGGCGTGGGCCCATGTCGGCCATGGTACAAAGTGAAAAGTGAAACATTGGGTATAACAGAACAACTTGCAATATAAATTCTGTGACTATTAGTTCAGAAGACGCTGAACATGAAGTTCAGCAGCAAACCTACACTCCTTGAACTCAGCGTGGATGTTTGTCGACGAAGGAATGAAGTAGCTACCACATACTGTGCAATATCGATGTGTGTCGACGAAGGAATAAAGTACCACCATACACTGTTCAGTACTAGACAGAGACATAGAGCACACATATTATAAACAAACATACTACACAAAGCTAGAGCTGAAGCCTAAGAGTAGTTTGAAAGTCAGCTGCAAAAAGGAATCTGGTTGTGGAAGATAGAGATGAGTCAGTTCACTGTACACAACCTACTGAAGAATGCTCATGACATTGTTTCTTCTTGGAGAGACAGCTCTGACTGTTCCTAGAGCACCACGGGACGGTGGAAGGCAAGGTGGAAGGACAGGGGGATAAAGTGGTAGCATCCCACTGTTTCTTGCATAGGCCATGATTATACACGTACACATCAATATATGGCCAGATTATGACCAAGAATACCGCCTTCGCAAGGATGCTTGCCGCCGCATAAGGTATATAAACCGGCTGCCTTTTCAATCAGACTTAAAAGGTAAGGGAGGGTAATTCGGAATGAACTTCAGAAAAAACGTTCTTCTTTCATTGCAGATCAACACCAGGGAATACTATAACAAACGCAGAGATACACTAACCTTTACTCTCTGTCATGCCGAAAATAGAACAATTTTACATCGTTTCGTTTGTCCGCGCGGGACCGATTTCTCGGTCCCGTCCGTTATGCGCATGCGCCGGTAATTCGGAATAGTAGAGCTACAGCAGCGATACGTCTAACCTGTATGGCTTGCAGCGTACTTATCCAGGTAAATACACTATTTTTCACATAAACAAAGGATTATAGCTGTCGTGATTACTGTTTTTTCTATACTGTCACTCGCATAGGTGTGCGCGCGTCGCAAAGCTTTGACCTCTTGGTATGCTACACTGAAACTGGCTGTGGAGCAGCTTGCATGTTCGATGTCTTTAGCCTTCATTGTAGTCTGCTTTAGCTGTTTTAGATCGCCGTAGTCTGCTCTACTTCTAGCAGCTTGCCTTTCACCTTTGAAGTCAGTAGTCAACTGAAAGTTTGAGCTCTCTTCATGCAAGAGACACGACGGACATAGAGCGCAACAAAGGTATGTATATGCTAACATCCAACTCTACCTGTAATAACAGTGACAGCCTGCCCTGACCAAAATATTTTATAAAATAGCTGCCGCAACGGGAGTTATTCCGAATTACCCGCCCTTACCTTACTCTCAAAATTGCTGGCGATCCGGTAGAAGACAACCTTTCAGGCTTGATAGCTGTTCTTTCTGCTGCCTGCGCCACTGTCGAGAAGCGACCATGGGCCACGAATAACGTATCTACTCGTAGCGTCTTCTCCAAGGGTTAACGTTGGTTTTGCGTAAACACTACTACGCCCACTAATCCTCGGTGCGCAAAGCGCCGCGAAAAAGCCATAGGGCCGTTGCCAAAGCCCGGTTGCTATAATACTAGTAGGCGAATGCATGGCATTTTTGGCGAGCGGGAG